GGTGAGGTGTAAGGATGGACTGGGAAACGGAGATTATAAAGAGTGACGTCGGTAGGGAGGATTTGTCCTTCGAATTTGAGGAGGATACTAAGAGATGGAGAGGATACCCCAGTTTTGTCTGGGTTGCGAATGAATCGTTGGCAGCGTGAGACCTCAAGAATATTGACACCAGAGTGGATAGATTTTTTGATCTCTTCATCGGTGAAGTCAAGGAGAACATTTTTGATAATGCCTTGGCGAATAATTGAGAATTGAGGGATGTAAGCAATTATTTTGTAGAGTTTTAGTGAAGGGTGGTCCATTATCGTATGGGCTTGTTCACGAGTGGAGAAAGTGATACGAATAGATTGACCAATTTTCTTGGCAGTGGTTTGACTCGATAAGATATTTGCTTCTTCGAAGATTTTTGTGATGACTCTGGCTAATTTGACATCGGTGAGGTGTACAGCGTCAGGCTGATTGTAATCAGCCTGGAACATCACATCAAACCCTTTGTTAGTAGCATGGAGGGGAAATCTGTTTTGGAGAGGACGTCTCTTGGGGGAAGGATTTTTCGAGATATTGTTGGGTGTTTGTGGTGTAATTGGGGTAGTTGATGAGGAATGAGTCGTATTTTCAGATTGGGTGTGAGCAGGAGACACATGAAACTGTTTAGGGGACCTCTCCAAGGTTAGCTCCTCAGAAGAGTTATCATCAAGTCCCTCAGAATTTTTGCGCTTTCTAAGAAGTTCATTGGCATCGAGGATTGCTTTTGGGATAGGAGGTCTGCTAGATTGGATGGAGAACTTAATGTAGGATAGGTTATGGTTTCATCTCGAGAAGCCATCGATTGAGCTTTTAGAATATCAACTGTCATAGAGGGGGCAATTGGAATGTTTTTTTCAATGCAATCTCGTCTATATTCATCCATAAGAGCAGTCTCGATTAGCTCTTGCTGGTTAGGTGAGGGAGGATAGCTCAAGGAAAGAGAATCAAGGAATGGATCATTGAGTACATCGAGGAGACCAGATTTGGATGGTGAGGTAGTTGGATCGAGCATGATCTCATCTTCGTGATCAGAATAGGTATGTTGAGGATTCATTGTGAAATTATTAAATGAAGATAAAGGAGGATAGAAAGAGAGTAATGTGAGGGATGGTAGGAAAGCATGAGTTTAAGTGAAAATAGAGGAAGAAAGAAGGCAAGATGGCGACCCACGCTAGTGGGTACGCCAGCAAAGGAAGGGTGGAATGCCTTGTTTTGCACGAAAATTTTAGATGCAACCAAGATACAGTTTTTAGCACGAAATTATTAGATAAAGCACGTGCAGTAAAGAAGAGAAAATTAAACACAAGAGAAAACGAAACAGAATAGATCACTATATAACAGATAAAGCACAGGGCAAGAGAAGACGTCTAGGCACTATGGTAGCTGTAAAGCGACTCCTGACGAAAAACCTCAAATGATTCTTTTTCTCGCATCCAGTCCGTGACGATCCACAGGCCCGTGCGCGCATGCGCAAATAGTCTGAACAATACTGTAGGGAGTGGGGGTGAAACGGAGACTTCTCTCTCGCACAAAAGGTTCTCATTCACGGCGCCGGATTTAGGGATTGAAGCTAGAAAATTGCGTTCAACTTTGAATCCATAGGAGATTCGCGGGTACGATCAAGACAAAATTTGTGGTAAATTTTCTAATAAAAAATATGGAAAAAAAGAGAAATTCATTGATTCAATGTCAAGATATAAATAGCAACATATATTAGATTCGCTCTGAATAAATAAACAAGCTATTGAAAAAAAAAC